CACTGTTAAATTAGGGACGGCTAGCGCAGATAGCCCTCGTGTAGCTTTGCGCGAAATTCAAAACAAACAAGGATAAAGATAATTAAAAAAAAACAACTAAATAACAGTGACTTGTACATGGGGATGACTGGGTGAGTTCAAGCCCTTACCCCTTGTGTCTCTGTCATAAAAATTGTCAACAACTACGAAAAGATGCACCTAATTACACACCTTGCTTACTGCGAATTATCAGGAAAAAACATATTTCAGCTTTAGAATGAATGGATAATAGGAACTTGTATGATTTTACAGTAAAAAAAATGATAATTATGATATGCTATTAAGAAGAGTTCACAGTTTAGTTTTTGATCATAAAAGTGATTATAGTCTTAATAACAATCACCCCCAAAGAAAAATATAAAAATACACTTGCCTTACATTGCTTGAAAAGTGTTATTTTTTTTGTCAACGCGACCCCGTCCATTCAATGTCCTCATTTATAGTTTTTAATTCAATGTTGGATATATTTTTATGATTTGTAATCTTCATAAATAATTTCATGGAGATAACTTCGAAGATTGTGAGAATAAAAATAATTAGTAATTGGACTTATCATTTTCATCTCGCTTTTAATCAGTTAAGAAATAACATTATTTTTCTGGGAAAAAAAATACAGCATTCCGTTTGTGTTCCAGCTGGATTAGATACAAACACACACGGTGGGACAGCGGTAAGTCTACGGACGTACTATGCTAAAATCCGGAGTTCGATTCCTTGCGGTAGACACAACAGATAGCCCAATGTGGCTTTGCTGTAAAACAACCACACGCACACACACAACATACGAAGGTCACGATATTTGTTTTTTTTTTTTTAGTGAGTGGTGGAAAATAACAAAAAAATTATTAGTGTATAACTTCAAGATTTATTGTTAAAATACTGCACTGAGTTAGTGTATTCTCTATGCAGAAGGCTGACTGTACTTTATAAGAACGATTTGTATATATACTGTTGCATTTTCATGACGCCGCATATACTATCCACGGTCCTACAGCCGAAACTTTTAGTATCTATCTATCTATGTATATATATTGGAAATGATTATAGAAAAACGCACGTAATTCACTACAGACGTCACAAACAATCAGTGGTTACAATTATATAAGCTCATATAGCCTTAATAAATCCATATCAGGACTTTGTGCAGGTCAAGCAGTGGTTGTGAGTGTTCTAGCTTTTTGCTTCTAGGTATCATTTCACAATATTTGCTGCATGCTTTGGATCACTGACTTCTTTGGAAAATGAATCCTCGCCCAACGTATCTTTTTCCTGTGGAAATGACATGATATATGAGAATTGGCTTGTAACTGTCATGGTGCCATCAATTTTATGTATATTTCTAACACCATTGGTTAAAATTCAGCCCATACTTGTATTGGCCCCTCACTGTAAATGTTGTATGTTGACCGGATAACTTCTCTTTGCCACTGAATAAACGATTATCGATTGTTGCCAAACAATTTAAGTGTGAATTAATCTATAAGGAACAACCTTCTCCAGCTTTGCTCACCCCATTACCGGAAGTATGACGTCCACTTCAGTCGTTAGGTTTGGTTATTCCTCCTAAGCAGTAGTTTATGAGCAACTACATATCCATTGAGGTTAATGTGTATCATACTGTTCTGGAGGTAACGTTGTTGCAATGGAAGTTGCAGCGTAATCATGGATATCATATTAAGCAGTATCAATGATGGAAGAATTAGTTCGAAAGGCAGCACAGGACTTAGAACATTCTTGCAAAACGTGATTAGTCCTTAGTATTTACAAAAAAATTTCTTTTACTTTCTCGGTTAATTGAAGGACTCAAACCATGAAATGTTCTAATGTCTAAGCGGGTCACATTTTTATTTTAACCTATATACACGACTAGCTGTTCAAGTGGCCTATATATCAGTACAACTTCTAGGTTACACAGAACTCACCTAACAAGAAGCATGATTAATCGATAAAAATGTGAGATTAATAAACACTGACCTATTCTATAATTAATGTCTAATCTGTATATAGTGATATTTAGTTCCAATGGCGGCATACGTTAACTTTGTGCATTTTTATATGTGTGTGAGAAAAATAGGGGATACGAATGTGCTGGAGGTAAAGAATTTTTTTTTTTGCAATCATAAGTGTTAAGATTTAGTTCGATTTAAAATAAAAAATGGGAGATTAATATAAATTATCTGTGCGATTAAAACACTTGTAGAAAGTTCCGATTATAGAAAAAATGAAGCTTGCTAATTTCAAGTTTTTTAGATGAATAAATATTCGAGGGAAATCATGAAGTACAAAAAAAGGAAAACAACATCAGGTGGAGAAGATATTAAATATTCTTGGTTTTAATGACCAGTGACGATCTTTTATTTGTTTATTTTACTTTCTTTACTCAGAACAAGAACATTTGGTGTAAGTAACCCAACAGTAATTGCAGTACTAATGTGTAGAAATTTATCTTTATAAAATTTACTGAATCTTGAGTCAAGTAATCATCAGTGGTGTGATTATCTGCCTCTCATTACTCTTTTTTTTTTCCCAGATTCCCGCACAGCAGACTGGTTTTTTATGGACTCCTTTGTTCCCACAGCAATCATCATGGGCGCCTATGTTGTATTCATTGTTATAGGATTACAAGTTATGAAGAATAGGACACCATGGAAACTGAGACCTGTTTTAGTTCCGTATAACCTGTTTCTAGTTGTACTGTCAGTATACTTATGTCATCAGGTGTGTGTGTGATGATTTCACGATTATCATTTTCTTCTTTACGTGTACCAATAACATGTCTACATCTATGATTTCCTAAAAATTTGTTTAAGCTTCAGTTTAAAAAATAACACTACCCGAACTTCGAATCAGAGGATTCATGGCTTGTTCCATTTCCTCCAATACCGCGCTACACACTTTGGTCGGGCCCGACATGGCCATGTGGTTAGGGCGCTCGACTCGCAATCTGTGGGTCGCGAATTCGAATCCTCGTCACACCAAACAAGCTCGCCCTTTTAGTTGTGGGGGCGTTATAATGTGACGGTCAATCCCACTATTCGTTGGTAAAATAGTAGCCCAAGAGTTGGCGGTGGGTGGTGATGACTAGCTGCTTTCCCTCTAGCCTTACACTGCTAAATTATGGACGGCTAGCGCAGATAGCCCTCGTGTAGCTTTGCGCGAAATTAAAAAACAAACACTTTGGTTGTGCTGTACGAGCGACGGTTAGATCATGCTAATCTATCAGACAAGAATAACCCAAGTATTGTGGATGATGCTGATGACTAGTTATATTCCCTTTAATCTATCAGCTCAAAATTGGGAACATCTGTGTGCTGATACCGGTTATGTAACTTTGTGCAGTAGTGATAAAACGAAGAGCAGTTAACACACGTACCTACAAGGGCTAGAACATAGTATTAAATAGCTTTAAATAGATAACAAAGAAACAATACACAGAAAAGCTATATCGTTGAATCAAAATACTGTTATAGACGCTGTGATTTAATCCAATCTTCAATTGAGAGTGTTTTCTTATAGCAAAGCGACATCGGGCTATTTGCTGCGTCTACCGAGGGGAATCGAACCCCTGATTTTAGAGTTGTAAATCCGAAGAATTACCGCTGTCCCACCGCTGTCTTCAAGCGATTCTGAAAAATTCTAACCAGCTCCGCTTATGCGTGGCTTTGTCTTCTCTCTCTGTATCCAATGGTTACTGTATTGTCCCCCGGATATGGAAAACCTCGTTCATAATATAACCTATCTATTTGGCTTTGAAAGTAAAACCAAGAAAATTGTATGTATGAATAGTTTAGCATCCTTTGACTTGTAACTAATCTCCATTCATTTTTAACAAGGATGATATTCAAATAATTAATTATCTTTATGATTGGATCATTTTGTTTGTCATCACAAGTTATACTGTTCTAGTAGACTTTATTTTTTATTTTTTTTACGAGATAACATGTTACCATATGTAGGATATCTCAGTAAAATCAATGAACAATAATAATCTGTTATTATTATGATGATGAAATAAGTGGTCGATAAACTTAAATTTGAATTCAAACTACTTTTCTGTGTTGATTTTTTAATGAAAGATTGCTTAGTAATCATTTGTTAAGAACGCTTATTTACTTAAAATAATTAGCATATTATTACTTCATGTTGATAATTTAAGAAATTAAATTCTATTAGATTTAGCAACTTTAAAAAGAAAAAAATTAACTGGTCAACCAACGACAAGATAGAAACGTTTTTTTTTTTGTTTTTGGCCTCAGGCTCAGGTATTTTTTGAGTCATTGATAATATATTGTATTGTTACGTCTCCAACGAAACTTTAAC